GCATTCCAGCTCAGAATCTACTTTTTTTATTTGCATATTCCAAGATCTATTTAGGTATTCATCAGAAATTTATATATTACTAGGGACTGGGTGCAGCACAGGCTCCAAAGACCATTCCCTCTTTTATCCATGCACAGCCACCAAACACCCATTTAGTCCCTGCTACCAAAGAAAAAAAACAGCTCCCACACTCTATAAAACCAACATCCCTTAACTGAAGACATTGTTGAAACAAGCTGTTTGAAATTAGGAACAAGTGAAACGTAGTCATCACTGGTAGTTTTTTCTCCTTCTCCTTCTTCTTTTTAAACTTGTTTAAATTAAAAAAGTCTCTGCAGACTAAAGCACTTCTTCAAGATGGGTTATTTTTGCAGTGTAGGCAAACAGTAAAAATGTAAATGAAACACTCCCATTTCATGGTACAGTCTGAGGCAGAGCTTGGTGAATGGAGGCGTTGTGTGCCTGTGTGTGTGCGGGTGGTGTATATAGAGGACCCTTGGCTGGGTTGGAATGAGGGGTGGGGTTGTGGGAGAGTTTTCAGGGTCCAGCTGATGCTCCGGGGGCAAGAGGTGTAAGAAATGAGAGGCCAAATTTTGCTTTCTGAGTGTGTTTTTCTCCCAGTAAGAAGTTAGAAAATGTTATTAACGCATGATGGAGAGGCTCTGTAGGCGGGTAATTACATTACTGGGGAGCTGTGAGGGTACTATTCTTCTGATGAGCATTTGAGAAGGAAAAAAATGAGGTGGTATGTGCGAGGAGAAGTCACAGGGTAAGATTAGAGATGGAGGGAGAGTGAAAGAGCGAATGCCTGGGGTGGGGTGAGTCTCAGGACTTTCATACCTTACATGCCAGTCAGAAAAGCTTGTGTGTGTGTGTGTGTGTGTGTGTGTGTGTGTGTGTGTGTGTGTGTGTGTGTGTGTGTGTGTGTGTGTGTGTGTGTAGGTCTACAATGTCCACTACAGCATGAGCATCAATGGCAAAGTGGAAGAAGGTTCAATGGAGATCGACACTGCCAATAACATGGAGAGATTCAGCACCGGCAGCGGAGCAGACGAGGCCGTGGAGGTCCATGACTTCGAGATTGTGAGTTCAGGTCAACGTAACCAGATGAAAAAATATATATATATATATATATGTTAATGTGTATTAGGAGGCTGTTTAAAGCATCAGAGGAAAAGTCGATCAGACTGGTCGAAGCCATCAGCTCATTATCACGGAGCAGAAATTAAGAACAAGCAGGCGAGTTATCCCCTCAGGGGCAATCAGTGTCGAGATGCACTGTCCCTCCAATTTTCATTACGTTCAGACTGGTGGTTTTTGACCTTTAATTAAAGTGCCCCAACCAGGCCAATCAGACTAGTGAAGCAGCAGTTTTAGCCTTTTATGTATTAAAATTTTGACCTTTTTAATCACAGTGTCCCCTGTGATTGTATTTTCTCAATCTGAGAGAGTGCTCACATTTATGACTGCCCTAAATTCAATCAAAACCTGACAGATTTTATTTGTGATATGTTTTTGATGGAAACCTTCAGACTGTCAAGGGGGGAAATAGGTTACTGTCCCCAGAAGTTAAGTGAGGTGTAGTGTACATCTTTTAATTTGTGTCCCCCATTCCCTGGTTTTTCAAATTCTTTATCCAGGGAATCACAGGGATCCGGTTTTCAGCAGGAGAGAAGTGTTACATCAAGACACAGGTGAAAGCTCATCTACCAGACGTGGAGGCTCTGAACAAGGAATCGATGACGTTTGAGCTGGTGGGTTGATTTTATGCTGTATGTTTTGTTACCAACAGCGCTTTTTTTTCTCAGTACAGGCCTACATTTTTTTTATTTTTTTTTTTATTTTTTATTTTTTTACTTTTTATTTTCATTTTTTAAAATTGAAAACGAACAACAAACAAACAGAAACAAACAAACAATAAAAGACATTTACAGTTATGGGACAGGTATCATCAACTAGCCAAAGCTTGACTGGCCATTATGACCAAAAAAAAAAAAAAGGCCTACATTTAACTGAAACGCTCAAGAATTTGTGTTTAGTTATGCCTCCATATTTTCCAGATGTCAGCGGTCACTTTGGACTTGCTTCTTTGGGCTTTTTTTTTTTTCAAATAATAATTTAAATTAGAGTGAATTATTTTTCCTTTACAAACAAAAACTCCTCTCTCTTCCTTCATTCAAATAGTGAGGCAGTGTCGTGTGCTGGTCCATCACATTGGTCCATGCTACTGTATTGCAACTCCAGTTTTCCCATGAAATTATGGCCACACCTTTATGACCTTCAGTAATCTCCAAGTTTTTCTTTGGAGTACCAACTGTTGCAAATTTTAAATCATGCCATGAGATGGGTGAGGTTTCAAGTTCTCAAAGAGTGGTCTTGACCCATATTTAAAGGGTTTTCGATATAATCTGAAATATCATAAAATTAGCCCGAATCATTGACAAAAAACCAACCAAACAAAAACTGCATATATAAACAACAACACAACATATTGTGTTGCTCTCACTTCATCCTTGAGTCATCACAGTTGAGACATATCATGCTAGTTTGTGATAAAACAATATGTCTAGTTTAATCACAGATACATCATGCTGTGGTGTGTAGCTTAGCCAGTTAGCAGGCAAGCTAGTGGACAGGTATGGAGAAATATTTGAATCAGCTGTTACAGTCAACTGAGCAAAAAGCCAAAGCAGTGAAAGCTAGTGTAAACATTACGAGGGCTTTCTTTGCTCCTTGTAAATTTGAGAGCTCCTCTGTTATATGAGCAACCACAAAATACAGCAGCAATCCTGAGGTCCCCACAGGGTCAGCAGTTATAGCTTTTTTGCTCACTTCTCCAAAAAACACTGTCACTGAGTCTGAATTTCAGTGTCACCAACATTTGTGTAAAAATGTTGTTAAATTAATATCATTGCTTAGTTATAGGAAAGTAATTATCATACAAAACAGTACACTAATTAGTAAATGATAGATGGGGAAAATGTTAAGCTAACGCTACTAATATTAAAGTTGCAAAACTTTACTGTGTCAAGCGTTTTAGCATTTAACTTAAAGTAGCACTGCTCGAGCAGACTTACAGTCAGCACACTGTTTTATCAGACAGGAGCAAACAAATTTGCCCCTTTGGTTCTTGAAATGATCTGCATTATTTTTACTTACTTAAAACGTGACAGCTAAAATAAGAAACATTTTACGGGATAATATGCTAAAGCAATATTTCGAATTACTCAAAGCACTTTTTACTACAAGCAACATTTCCCTTTTCACACATACTCATACAACACTTTATTCTCAAGCGCTTTAACTGCCTTCTCACTCAGCCTGCTTTGAATCAGTTCAACTCAGGCAAAGCAAAGATTATTACTGATGTCACACTATAAAAAGCTCTCATAAAGTATCTCTGTTTAGCACGCTGTGTTCATTTGATCTGATGCTAAAATCGTGAAGCGCTCTCCAAGCCACATATGCGACTTTTGTGTGTGGCTTCCCATCATATAACTTGGACTCTATTAAGATTTAGAAATAAACCCAGCAGGTCTTCACTCAATATGAGGATTGTAATCACCAGTGCCACAGCTTGTGATTGTTCAATTGAGGCTGTCTGATAATTAAAATCATTTAGTTCTGCATAAGCCTCACATCCACATAAATCCACATCAACCAAATCGCTCTCGTGAGCACGCGGCTCATACACGCTCGCCTGTGCACGTGCACACTGGCGTGCACAAACACAATTAATTATCACGCAGGGCTGCTCTTATTGCCTCTATCTGCCTCATAAACGATCATTTATTTCACGTTTGCGCTTTTGTGCGCGTTTGCGTTATTGCCTCTCTTTGCCTCATAAATGATTATTTGGACGGTGTGTGTGTGTGTGTGTGTGT